ACATCCCGCCGCTGTCGCCAACGCCAAGGACAACCTCAATTCTTTCTATTGCTATGTGGGCGCCTTGTCGTCGTCCGGCCTCGACCCGCGCCTTCGGATTCTGGATCAGTTATTCGATTCTCTCATCAAGGTTGCCCTCGCCGCTCGGAAGGCCTACTTGTCAGTTTGACTGTTGCCCGTTCCTGCGGTGAACTGATCTGTCATCCAGCGGAGCGAAGTATCGGGTCAGAGAACCCAAACTCGACGACCAGAATCCCGGTTCGTACTCTGTTTACTCCTCAGGCCCGCCCAGTCTCACCTTTGGTCATAGTTTGCATTTCTATGCGCCACCTTGCCAAGGTTCAGCGCCTCTCAGACACTCAAGGAACCGGGGTGGGTACACGCGAGGGGAGCGAAGAGGAGGAGTCGGAGGAGAGCGGGTCAGCGCAAAAGAGCTCGCTTGAGGTGCGTGGACACTCAGGCTGTCTCGTACTCTTTGATTGCTGACCCTGTTTGCTTGAAGGCTCTGGCCTTTGTCGCCGCGATCTCTTTAAAGCTAGAGTTGCAAATGAATGGTGCGTTAGGTTCCGCCCAATCTTCACGCGATCGAGCACTTATTTGCGTGCAGGGGCTGGGCCTTCCTCCCTTCCTCCTGTGTGTTGCCTGATATCGCTACCGATTTCTACTGCTCACTTGCTTCCGCAGACGCCTTACCCGACGACTCCTCGCTATATGGTCCATGCTAATCGTTTCTCAAAGACGGAACCACAAGGCACCTCACCCGCGTCTTCTTCTGCCGAAACGCCGTGGAGCCAGAAGAGCTGGAACTCTGGTTCGTCTTGTATCACGATCCGCTCGACTTGTGCTCACTTTTGGCCAGATCATGTCTCACCGCTGCGTCTGCCAGTGAGGGATGACGACGAGGATGTGTTTATGTAGGCGGTATGTGTGGAACTAGCTCTTTGGGACGCGACTGATTTGTCTTTAGGGTGGACTGGTGCGGTGGCGAAGCGTCGAGAGTAGAAGCCTCGCGTGGCATTTTCTTGGATGGCAAATTTGTAGCATGAATTGTATATGGATTTGTATTGCTTCTGGATGTATGGATTATTACTCTTTCATTTTCTCCATATCTTGTGGCGTCCAAATCGTCGGTGAAGAAATGCAAAAATCGGAGTGGTGGCAACAACGGACAACAAACCTTCTTGCTTGCCAGTGCTATGCCCGGATATTCGACTTTTTCTTCAGCCCGAGGCAGGGGTTGGCGCGTTTGAGAGCCGACTTGGAGGAACGACACGGCCATGACCTTCAAGACCTTGTCCCAGTCGAGGAAAAATTGGACGATCACGAAATGAAAAGACAGCTTCGCTCCAAGATCATCGGCTCTACCTTGTTGGAGTTCAACTATTGGGGGCAGTCCAGGATGGTAGGAATGCCACACAGTGAGTTTCAGCTCGTCATCCGAAGTGAATGGCACCGTTGACCGATGCCGCTTAGATTACAAATGCAAGTACAAGTCATCCCTCGATGCAATGCCGCTTTGGTCCTCGACGATTCGAATTCAAGCTTACTGCGAATGCCTGGGCGCTGGATGCAACGTTGTTGGACCGTCAGGAGGGAGGAATGCGAAGCAGTCGTGACCACCCACGCGAGCCACCGAACTTTTGTAAAGAAGAGTGGTCGCAATGTTCGCTTTTTTTAAGTCACTGGCGGTCTGTGCCGTGAATGGTGTGTACGTCCTCACCGCAACTTTGCTGCTCGAGCTAATGCCATGAAGTGCTGCCCGTTTTCGACGACCCAGTGTCAGAAACGGAATGGGTCGGCATCTTTTGTCCGCCCTTCCCGCATTCAAGCCGCCGGAGGCGGACATCCCAGTGTATTTACATCTTGAGGTTTTTTCGGATAATAGTGCGGGCATTCTTCATTTTGTCTTTCAGCGCTGACTGTCTCAACAGGCCTGTTTCACGTCGCGTCCCATGGTACTACTAGTATGGCACTGAAGTACTGCAATCGCCCGCCGAATATCGACGAATCAGAAGTCGACCAGGCCTGCGACGCACGGAGATCGTCTGCACCGCGCGTGGTTGCCTTCGACTTCTCCAACGCCATGTATTTGCTCTCTCGTCTGCTTGAGCTGTTTCAGCTGACATACTTGTCAGGCGCGGCGCGACAATCGAAAAGGAACAACGACCCTCCGGGCATCTGCTTTCCGCCATTCGATCTTCCACTTTGCCTCCGACGCGTCTGAACGCCAAGAGAAGATTGCAGCTTCACCAAGTAACGGGCCTGTAAATGCCCAGTCGCCCCCTACAAGGTGAATTTTGCGCTCCTCATCGATAGTGCACAATTGACCGATGGCTTGAAGCACCCCAGCTGTTATACATGAGCAGTCTCAGTCCTCATGTTTCCCTTGTATGGTGTGTACTTTTTTCTCGACCCTACGCCGCGGATTAAAGTAATTACAGATCTGGGCGCAATGCTGGTTCGGGGTGGTCCAAGGATCCAACTCGAGCTTTCAATGGCCAGTCGAGACAACGCACGTTCTGCACATATCATCCGACGGGTTTGCCCGCGTTTTGCCAAACCACGGTGGTCTGCACTTTGAATCAGTTGTCACTGTTAGTTTTGTCCCATCTCCTCCGTTCGTGACATGCTGACCTGGACGCGACTTTTGCAGACAATTCGCGCCAATAACGCCGATTCCCTCAAGGATAACCACTCTGGTCTTCGACACGTCAACATGGCTCACCTTGGCTGTCAACGAGTCGTAGATGGATTTAACTTGGCTGCTCATCTTCACTGGGAATGCAGGAGATCATTGTCGAGCGTGCTGCTTTCGGCCCTCGCGACGTACACCGCAAGGCCATTTGCTCGCGCAAGGTACGTTTTGGCTTTCGGACTTTGGCGTTAATCTGACGAGACGACTAGTCCCATCTGCTCTGGGCTTGTCAAGGTCTTCGTTTGCTGGAAAACTCGCATTGTGGATGGTTCGTCCGTCGTCTATTGTTTTACTCGTGGCCGTCTAATGCAGGTGCATCAGGCCAATGCTTTTTTTTGTCGTCAAGCAGCAGATGGAAAATTGGTTCCACAGTGCTCGTCGTTACCTGGCTGCCGCGCCTTGCCGGTTATGTCAATGGATATATTGGAATTGCGCTTGAGGTACGCACTTCTGGTATTTGTGCATATTCTGCTACTCAATATGGAATGGAGCCTCGGGCTTGAGGTCGGAGGAGTAAGTTCTTCCTCCACTGGCTCGAGTTCGTGGCTGAACTTCATTGGCAGGGCCCTCCAGAATGCATATGGTTTCAGATCGCATATTGCTGCACATAAGTACCGCTTGGCACGAGATCGACTCGAGAGAAACGGTAGGCTCATATTACATGAATCTGGAATCACGCTCAACGGCATTGAATATAGGGCAACACTCCCTCTAGCGCAAAGTCGCAACTCGACAGGTCGTGGCGGCGTCTCGCGCACGGCTTCTGTCATCCTTCGGAACTTGCTACCTGCGCTACGACTTGAGCAGACTCTGATAATCACGTGACTACAGACAGACGAAGAATTGCGAGCAGCAGCACGAGACGTTTGTCCACACCTCGGTCGTCAAGCGATGCGTGTAACTGGGCCCGACCAATGCCATCCCGTCGCGCCGGATCTTGCCAAGCAAGTTCCTTTCCGTCCCGAATAACGAATGCTTTCTCTCGTTACATGGCCAGCAAAAAGTATCTACGGCCTTCAAACGTGGGCTCATGCAGCGTCTTCGTGAAGGCGCGGGGATGGGCGATTTGGACTCGAGCGCCAAGGAGAAGGAGATCAAGGAGGTGACGCGAAAGAAGAAGACACTCAGGAAGTCACGCATGTCGAGGAGGGAATCAAGGCGGTCGTCGAGGGTGGTGCAGGACAGTCCGGTCTGGACCAATCCCTGTCGATGCAGCTTTGGCTAAGCAAGGCGTGGTAGAGGTCGGTTTTGTCCCTCTTTCAATCGTCATCTGACGTTTTCCTGCAGCCTTGCAAAACGCCGACCCGTGTTAGTTCTCTGGAATCATCAAGTTGGAGGACATAGTCGGGTTTGTTTCCTCTTTGTTACTCACCACCCTGTCTGACTCTTCCTCTAGAACTCGACTAGGATGAATTCGCCCCCAGGATGCTCACGGGGATCTCTACATCTTCAAGGGACCGTCTGAATACCGCACTATCTCAGAGGCTCCAGCTTCTTTTGTTGCCGCAACGCGCCTCCGGCTTCCCGACCGCGAGCCCAGTGCAGACGGTCCTGGACCACGAATCGAGCCCGACCCTCGGCGTCAAGTGAAGGAACCCACGCCGACACTTGTAGCCCGCATTGTCCTTCCTACGAGGCATCTGCACGTCGTCGTCCACTTGCGCTGCCCCGAGGCGATCTTACTCAAACGTTAGAGCTAAGACTGCACCTTCTGGAACGCCCGCGAGCGTAATATTAATAAAGGTTGGCCCACATCCATTGCGCAAACGATATACCTGTCGGCTGACGACCTCGATCCAGATTCTGTGCCACCAAACGGCGTGTTCCTAAGATTGGATTCGCGCTCGGCCATCGGTTTACGGGCATCCTTATCTACAGTCGTGTGTTGTGGAACGAATAAGTACACATTTCTTTATCTTCTCGATGTCTCTTCCATCCAGTGTCGCGAATAATGGGGTGGATTGGCAGCGCAGGTTGTGTTGCTACTTTGAGATGCCTCGGCGCAATCAGTCGCTTAGTGGATTTGCAATCTGTGGGAAGTCTGTCTGCGTTCCGCGGAAGCTTTTGACAATTCGATGGCTTTCGATGGCGAATTCGAGAGAATTTGAGCTGATTCGAGTCGGAAGAAAGGAGCCAGGATCGCACATTCTATCATTCCGCCGTGTCAGATTCCGGACCACATTTGCGTCCCACATACATCTGCGCAGAAAAATCAAATAAAAAGAATACATGCTAGCGAGAGTCGGGGGATTCAAAAAATATATGTTGCCCCACACCCCTATGCCCGAAGGGCGCCTGATGTAGTTGATACCTTAGGGATTCGAACCCCAGTCCCTCAAGGAGGTTCGGTCTCAGGGCGGGAAAACGCTGTTTACCACTGAGCCAAGGTAGCTGGCGAAGGGTCCTGACCGATCCTTGGTGGATTATGCATTCCTGGGACTCTGGTACGCAATGCGAGTTGGCACTGCGAGGACGTCGATTAATTAATTCCATCCATTTTGGGCCTGCAATTTCTGATTGGCGTCGCGTCCTAGCCGACCGACCCCGCCGATTCTGAGATATATGACCCTTGCAGCTGCGCCTCGGGAAGGTTCATTGCAACAAGTAAGTCCTGGTAGTAGGAATGAGCAGACTGGAGCCAGAAAGCTTGAATCCTCGGCGTACATACCACCAAACAACGCGACATCTCTCTTCTCGACCACCATGTCCGAGTCCGACGCAGTGTTAAGCTGGGTCCAAGCACCACAACCGGCCTTGTACGCGAACGAAATCGATCTCAGGATGAAGCTGGATGACTACCTCCGTGGCGAGATTCAGATTCATGTCCGCACCTCCAAGTCCTTCGTCGTTTCTCCTCCTCCGCTCGAATATGATGCGTGGAACATGGCGCTGTACCAAGTGGGAAGAAAGAGGTATCTCGTGGAGAACAGAGGTCTTTCCCTTCCTCTATTGCAGTCAGGCTGTTACTTGAACGGAGTTCCAGGACGTGGTGCAGCCCCGTTTGGTTATGCCCTAGCCTTTGAGGAAGCCTCGGGCGGTCTCGACGGCGTTCCCGACCGCGGCCTGTCTGGCGTGCGTTTCTATGTACCTCGTTCTTTTTGCGCGTCACGCTTATCCACATCCCCAGCTTCTCCAAGGTATCATCATGACCGAGACGATGCTGGATGAAATCATGGGCAGAATGTCCTACGCGGGGAGAAACTTGGCACCGTCTTCGTGCCCAGTCGCACCGCCCTTCTACCAGCTCCTCGGTGCGCTCTGCATCGCCAATGGGGTCGAGGCGGTAACCAAGTGGATGGTCGAGACGTTGACGCCCCTCATTGAGTTTGGCATCAACGCTCGGAATATGTACGTCTCCGCCAAAGAGGCTCAGCAAGAGGCGAGGAACCCGAAGAAGGACAAGGAGCGGTGCGCCTTTCTTCATCAAGTCTTTTCGTCGCCCATGACTAACCGTCGCCTCAGGTCCCGCAAGCCTGTTTCCCAGCAGCATGTCAGTAAAGCCGAGGCTCATGAAATCAGAAAAGGTCAGGACATTCCCTCATATTCGCTCATCACAAGTCTCACCTCTGTCTCATTCCGTAGACTTGAAGTTCATCAGGGCGGTCTACGAGTTGGTCCACGGATCCCAGGGCGATACTAAATTCCCCACCGACTCGAATGATGACGTTACTCTGTATAGTTTGGAAGAGGCGTTGCCAGAGGACGAAGAGATGGATGGCCCTGACGCTCGGCAGTGGGGCGACGTTGATGTATGTCGCCTCTTACCACCATATTCATGACAACTGACACGACGCATAGAACGATAGTGTGCGCTCGTCGATGGCAAGTCCGCGGAGGGCCCGCGTATGTCGTCTTCTCGCCCGTGATTCCTCAAATCTCACCTGTGTATGTAGATTGAAGACGACGAAAGCTCGGTCGCGTCCTTGCCCAGACCCACTCGTATGTCGGCAACGTTGCTTGCCGTTCCCTGTCCAATAATGGTTTGTCAGCACCTTCGTCGTGTGCGCCCGGCTTACTGATCCTTTTTTGGCAGGTACCACCTTCTAATAACCAAGGGCGCCAGCCAGCCGTCGTTTCTGCACAGTTGGAGGACCGTACGATGGGAGAGGACAAGGGGATGCGAACGGAGGGAGACAGCTGTCTTGGTGATGAATCCAATTTCGCCGTGTGTCACCTTTTCTCATCTTTGATGTTTCAGAACTAAAGCCCACGCGCAGGACGATGATATTGGTTCCGTGTCTACCGGGTTTTCCCGTACTACTCCGACGCGGCGGCATGTACGTTGACCGACCCATCTCTGTCTCTCACTTGCTAATTTATTCACAGGGCGCAACCTTTACGCCGTCCTCCTCGACGCCCAGCCCGTTCTCCCAACGGAGCTGCAACATCGCAGATACGGACAACCAGTCGGAAGCATCATCCAAGCCTCGGCTAGCCAGCTTCTCGGATGCAAGTACTCCACGCCCAGCTCTATCCGCGCAAAACCCTCATTTAATCGGTGCGCCTCTCTCTTACATGTTGGATAGCTGCTAAACACATTTTCCGCAGATGATGGACCGCCCAGCGTCGTCTTGTCGGACCCTCTGTTCGTGCCATACGACCATGGCCTTGTTTTGTTCCGCAGCGTGGAGGAGGCATACGGGGTACGTGCTCGGCTTTCTCAATTTGGATACAATTCTCATACTACGTTTATAGATCTCCGCTTCTCATGCCACTACGGCAAATGGTACGACTCAGTTATTCTTTTCCGTTCAATACACTGGATGTCGGACAGGATTGGCGCCGGCGGCAGAGATTGCCATGGGCTCCCCGAAGAGTCCTCGTGCCAGAGGTGTCCAGCGGCGGAGGCTTGACGTCGATAACTTTTCTCCCCGCGGGTCCTCGTGTTCCTGGACTCTATTGCGTTCTAGCAGGATCCAACTCCCTCCCTCCAAACCAACTCTCTTTTGATACCTCTTTTCGCCTCTCTACAGAATTATTCCGCTCCACATCATTCAAAGCGATACCCACATACACGAGATACCTACAAGCACGATAGATTCAAATTACGGTTAGATTTGTAGAATTACCATTAGATCATGTACCCCAGTATCAACCCCCAATGTAGCGAACTTCTTCTCGTTTCACAACCTCTGAAATAATGGGAATGTGTGCTGGTGTCGCGTCGATTCACATTGATAAGCGTGCACGTGATCGCGCATCTTCTCTTCCACCGTCATCTTCCTTTCAACGGCGCACGATATCCAACCATTGGCCTCGGACGATTCCATCCGGCGCATTCGCCCACTCCGGACTCTTAAATCGAGGAAGGTCTTGATATCTCGACCTCTGCATTTTTTCTCGAGTCTTGACTCGACAAATTGGTCACTTCCGATTACCACTTGAAATGGTTGCAAAGTGGGGGTGTTTGAGACAGTTGTAAGTCTTGTCCTAAGGGTATTGTACCGATGGTCCTCATGGCTCGATAGAACGAATGTCAAGTCGTCGTTGCCGGTTCTCATCTCGACCCACAGCTTCGCCAACTTACCTCAGTGCCGCGGCGACAACGAGACTCGACCTTCAAAGCCAGCACCAGTCCAACACACGGACTCTCGTGCCATGCCCACGACAGTCCCTTCTTTTTCACGCCGCCGCCCGAACGACGAGCACCACTCACTGCTCAATCAGTGCTCACGAGCCCAAATTATTTTCAAGCCGGCTACCGGGCCCAGAATCGTTAGCCACCGCACCAGCTCTGAGCTGCAAGAGTGCTACTTAGATGTCTGGATGGTGCGTTGTCCAGACACGTCACCACAATTTTTCCCTGATTTCGAATCGGTCGCAGACTATTGCAATCCTCCATTCGCTCTAGGACCCGTTGCACACTCCTCCTCGGCACCGCCCTCTCTCTTGTCTGGGCTCCTATGAAGTTTTGGAGACGATTATGGTCAGCATCTACGCCATTGCATTCTTTATGAGAAGCTGACCTGACCCTCAAAGACGATTCTCGACATCTCCCCCCCCCCCCCCCCTCGCGTCAATGAGACCGATGCACCCCCGACACTGCTCTTCACCACCAACGAGTCGTGGAACGCTTTTGCCTTTGGGGTCACCGTATTCAGTCGGAAGTGCGGGTGATTTAGGTTTGATGAGATTGTATGGGGCATCCGGAGCGCATGTGTACGCAAGGCAAGCGCCGCGAGAGATGAGCACGATTTGGGACGTTTCGGCGTCGGATTCGTGGTGTGTATCCATTCTCACCCAATAGCTGTGTTCTGCTCAAAAAGGTTTCAGGAATTTCTTGATCGTTTGGAACCATTGTCGTGGCGTAGTCGCTGCTGGATAACCCTTGAAGGCCTGTATTTGATTCTTCAGGTTTTTTTTTCGTCTATTGATTTCCTGCTCAGAGGTCCACGCTCGGTACTCTTGCTCATCATGGGCGCTGCTCATCATCCGGGCACCTCACGGGCAAGCAATGATGCCGCGTTTTGGGAACAGCTCAGGAGACATCAGGATGTAGTTACCAGCGCTTGATTCCTTGACGAGGGCCGAGGACGGGGATAAGGTACGTTTCTTGCAGCCGCAGCCTTTGACTTTTTACCGACCCTTTTAGCTAGGTACCATCGAGTTGTGGATGGGTGTAACGACCGCTTGTGCCTATTCAGGAGACGCGTGCGTTTTCTCACTGTGCTTAACCTTCCTCCTTCCGACGCGACAGCAGGTTATATTCATTGCATCCGGCACTCACCCCTCGGGGCCTGCTAGCCAAGGTGTATACAAAACTAGCGGGATTTCACCAGTCTGAGGGCGTTATCCGTTGGCTCCTTGGGAACATCGCCTTTCAAGGCCTGGATTGCCGCCGCCGTCACCGCCTGGCCAGACTTATGCTTGTTACACGCTGGGTCGTCAGCTCGACCCCTTGTCGCTCCGGTGCTCCAGCGTACGTCCTGTTTCTTCAATTCCGACATCTGTTGACATCCATGTCCAGATCGACATCTTTGTGCGGACTTATCTCCCGCGCTGTTTGGGTGGTACTGGTACAATGTCTCGTACTCATCAGATTTGGGCTCGTGGAGGTGCTGGGGCTGAGGCGCTAGCGAAACCTCCTCACTTCGCCCCCTGCACAAAATGACCAAACCGGAAAGCAGTTTTCCAAATTGGCAGGAGCGGCACAGGCCTGAGATGGTCTGGCGTCCTCCATTTGAGGATAATCACCCTGTCTTGCGAGTGATAAGTGAGTATTTCAATCGCTCTTCGGACTCGATAGCTCTGAGGCTCACGGTGGTGCTCAGGGCCGACAAGGCAAAGCGACTTTGCTGTCAGTGACAGCTTACGGTCCGTTTGAGCCGATCTCGGGCTTTCTCGAGTAACGCGCATGAGCCTCGTGAACGATCATCACAAGGCAAGTGTACT